AAGGTCAAACAACTTATATACGACGAAAGGGAACTGCGACCACACAAAAGGCCACACCATCTTGGTCTTCATATCTACTATTTTTTTTATTCCTTATGATGATCCGATAGGTTGCTCTGTTCCCGAATATACCTTCCGTTTTTTCATACATTACATTATATTAACTATAGTCGCCCTCTTTGTTGATTTATATAACTATTCGGTCACTCCTTTTCATTGTTCTAACTATCCCCGTTATACTGATGCAGTTCACTGGCCCTGGATATGCTAAAACTGTCCGAATTATTTCTATTACCATTTCCAATTATTTCTTCGCGGTACATCTATGAGTTATTTATAGCCTTACTGGAAAGTCTTTTATTGCCTTGATTATCTGTCAGCTAACAAGTGCTGGAGTCCTTATGAAATGAAAGCTGTTAGGCTTTTGTCGATTTACGAGTGGAAAGTAGTATTAGAGGATTAAAAAAGTAAAGATTCCATGACTTATACAATTGAAAACGAGAAAGGGTATGGACATTCTAGTTCATTCAGTATAAACATAGTTTCGTTTATAGATTATAAATGGAAACATATTCAAGCTTATAAAGCTGCATTAAGAATGGAGTCTGTTTTTAAATTCCAGGTTAAACCAACAATAACATCATTAGAAGAATAGTGGCGAGCATATAAAAATACTCTACATAAGTGAGATTTAACAAATCCCAGAAACAAGACATACACTTTAGCAACAAATATAGGAATGAACAGATAAGTGTAGATGATTTTTCTAATCCCACTTAACTTAATATAAATAATAAGAGAACATGAAAAAAAACAATATTATGACTTGCTTCTCCCTTCATCGGGTAACTTGGATCTGATATCTTTCCACTTTTACTGGTGAATGAAGCTCCTCCACCAAAAGCATGTTTCCCACTGCCGCTGGCGAGAGGAACGGCATTCCGGCCAAAGCCATACACGTTCCCACTTGTAGATGTGCCATTAGTGTTTGTCGAGGAAGGTAGAGATGAGTCAATCAAGCCACTGGAAGAATTACAGTTCAGATTTCGGATAAACGTCTTTAGTATTCCAGAAACCCCAATGCCGGAGAGGATGCACATTACAGGCGCTAAAACTAATATTAGACGCACCATTACGCCCTGTAATAAAATGTAATACAGTGTGAAAAGTGAATATATAATGTGCAGTACAGAAAAGAAATTGGAACGATTAAATATATGTCTACGACAAATGCTATTACTTCAGGTATGGCATAATAGAGGAACTATGAGCTAATGGTGTACTTGCTATTTAAATAATAAGGGAAATCACTATTTTTTATATCAGGCCGAAATCATGAAACACCGATTTTGAAAAATGATAGAATTGGCATGAATATTTTCTTAGTTCA